GGTCTCCCCGCGGCGTCCGGCCGGCGGGCCTCCCCTCGGGCCTGGGGCGCCCCCAGCTCTCCCGAGCCCTAGAAAGCTTCTGCTCCTTTATATGTAGCTCAAAACATAGTCCCCGTCCCCCCACCACCACCCCGCCAAGGGTCTGAAGGAAAAATGAGCAGGTACCTCTACTCAAGGTCGCTTATAATGGACTGTCATGTTTTAAAGTTCAATCTACCTGGCCGAATGAGCAGCTTCACTGGTGCAAGTCCCTTCATTTTATTCTCCTGAGAACCCAGATTACTTTCTGGCAAATAGATGCCCACTGCTGTAGTCAGAAGAAAAATGGTTATTCTATGGCCATCTTCAAACTGAGAGGCGCACACTTACGTCAGCTTCTGGAGTTTGCATCTTGGATTTCTCAGCTCGTAACAGAGTTTCTTCATGGAGGGAGCATTAAGCTTGCTGTCACTCAGGTCCAGCTCACGCATGTTCCCATTGCGAAACACGGAGCAAATATCCTGCCACTGACGAGTCCTCAAATCGACCACCTTTGCCCTTTGTGAGGGAGAGAGAAGGCCGGTGAGAGTAAACGAAACTTGGCACCCAGAACGTGATGTACAGGAGGCAAGAAGAGGCCCTGATGAGAACAGACTCGGTGAAGCTCTGAAGATGAAAACGTGTAACCCAAAAGCTACAGTTCTTAAAGTACCAGATGCTTTATTCCCACGGTCCTCAGCAACTCCTTCAGAGGAGAGGCAGCGCATACTGGGGTGAGGTGGACCACGGGCATAATCCTTAGAAGTTCAGACTCCAAGTAAACAGACCTGAGGGGCATTCGGAGCCCAGCCCCTAGTAGGCGCGTCGAACCTCCGTGCTCCAATTTTCTATCTCCAAAATGTGCGAAACATAACTTACTCCCATAGGGTTTTGCGGAGATTAAAGAAGACTCATGACGATATTTAGAACTTAGAATTATTAGCATTCTAATCATGTAGAATGTCCCTAACGTAGTAGGCGCTCCGTGTTAAGAATAAAAGAGCATGAAAGTCAGAAATGAATTTTTTAAATCTCAGTGAGACAAGGGAAGTAAAACAAAGACTACATTCTGAGAGCATTTGAAGGGGATAAAGTTCTGCTCTAAGTCCAGAATTGTGGCACTGGTGAGAGTGTTTGCAGCCTTATGTGTATGTGCATGGGTGTCTGTATGTGGCGTATGCATGCACGTGCATTCATGAATATAGCATCCCTGCCTGTGCTGATGGACACAGTTTAAAACCCCTGAGGAAACCAGTAAGACACTGTGCTGCAGAGAAGCAGGAAGTAACTTCACCATCAGAAGGTCTTTGCCGACTTTAGGGAAGGTCTGAAATTCTCTTAAGCCTTAGGGTGACCATGCATAACGTGATCAGTGGTGTGGGCTCAGCAGTAATCCTCACAGTAAGCGGGATTCCACCTGGGGAATCATTCTGTAGTAACTGCACTTACTCACATGACCCAACAGGGAACACCATGGAAACAAGGCCCTCATTTAAGTTTTAGGGATTCCAAGTCAGGATAAGCGATAGCAAGCACATGTTGAACGTTAATTAATCCAGACCCTCCAACCAAGCACCTTACTCGTGTTTCAGCCTGGGTGAACACAAAGAAGTTAGTCCTCTCAAAATTTCATGTTGTTCAATAAAAATTGAACTGCTTATTTCTCACAGATTTGAGGGTTAAACAGGAAAGGATTTGACAACACATTTAGCAACTCCTGTCCCAAGAAAATAGTTTAGAAAACGTTCCTGGAACCTAAAATGAGGAAATCTGACTTTTCTAGTAGTTCCCTCCCAGACTGGAAGCCAGAAGTGCCAGTAACGGGGCAAGGTCGGAGGACAGGAACCGACAGCAGCTCAAGTATTTCTAAGATCCTTCTTCCAGGAGACAAAGGGGCAAATTCCTAAGAACAAGCTTTAAGATTCTGTTGACACCCTCGGCCCCACGCTGGTTCCAACTGATTCTCAAAGGAGAGGCGCGCAGCGTTTTATTTAAGGTCTGGAGCTCTGGAAGAGCTGGGCTCCAGTCCAGGCTGAGCTACTTACTAGCCACACTGACATAAGAAAACCGTGTTTTCACCAGTCAGTTTTCTCGTCTCTGAGGACAACAAGAGGTCCCCTCCATCCAGGCGGGGGCACCAGACCAGCTAGACGCAGGCGGATGCCGCGGCGCGACGCCTGGCGTGCAGACCTCCAGCAGGCACCGCCTGAGATACGAGGTCCAAGGGGAACTGCTGAGGGAGCCGGGAAACCCTGTATGACCCCCAAAGGGAAGGATTCCCACAGGCCGGAGCTGATCTAGAATGTCTGGTCAGTCACAACCACTGAGGACACCACGACCGACAGCAGAGTCGGTTTTTTGTGGAAGAAGCTGGGCGGAGCCCGTGGAGACGAGGGGAAGCTGGTCAGGGGAGGGCTGGTTCTGGATTACTCACCCCGGGGTTTCCGGGTCAAAAGTCAGCTCCGTTTGAGGGATGGGACTGCTGACAGAGAGCCTCAGCTTGCTCAGCTTCTGACAGTGCTTCAGGCAAAAGGAAGAAACTAGAAGTTGCAGACTCCCACGAACGTCAAGGTCGGCTTCCAGGAGGCGACTCAGGATCTGCCGTACAAAGTCCTCGTCCTGCGTCTCATGTAAGCACTGGAAAAGCAGCAGGAACTCAAAACGGACGGAGACTGCGCTGCACCTCTCCAAGTCTTCTGCCCAGTCCAGCAGCTCGTCCCTCACCCCGCGAGACACTTCACAACCCAGAGCGTCTTCCAGTTCCCTGGCCAGGTCTCTTCTTACAAGACCAAAGAGAAAGAGAACCATCGGATTCCAATAGACGTTTGTGTTCAATAAGGCGTCACTCAGCAGCGCCCTCATCTCTTGATGCCTCGTGGAACCACCACCAAGGGACCCTCTGGCTCCCCGGAGCACATAGAACACGGCCCCCAGAAACACCTGGAAGCTGTGGTGCGTGAAAGCAACGCAGTCCTCACAGTCACCGACTTTGCGCAGAATATTCCGCCTCAGGAGAGACTCGACGAGAGGGGCCTCCAGGTGCCAGCGCTCCACGTCCTCCTTTGCAAACGTGAAGTGCGAGAACCACATTCCCTCTGCAGCGAGGCTGCAGAGGGCCCTCCACTGCCCCGGCCAGCTCTGCCCCGACACGCTCGCCGCTGCCACGGAAGACAGGCCGGAGAAGAAGCGGGCGTACAGGCTGGTGGCGGTCTCGGCGCCCGGCCGGACAGACGGGCTTCTCGCCATCCGCCACTTCAGGCAGGAGCACACGGCCCAGCACACCAGGGGGGCAGAGCAGGAGCGAAACAGAGACTCCATTTTTCTTATCTTAAGCAAGATCTTCGTGGCTTGGTCGTAGTCACCAAAGAACCTGGTGAAGTACTCCTCCCGGTCTCCCTCTGTGAACCCTGAGAGTAAGACAAACCATGGATTCAGCAGCAGCCCTTTAAGACGACCATTACTGTAGTCTCTGGCTGTTACCAGTAGGGTAGCCGTGGGCGCCAACTCTTTCTTCAACAAGTGGAGGAGGATTCTGGCCACTGGGAGCCGCCGGTACCAGTCTGAGCATGGCGGGCTGTTGTCCAAGTCGGGGGACAAAACTATCTCTTCAAAGCCATCAATGACAAACAGGAGCCTCTCGGGATGACCCATGAACTCTTCAATGGGGACCTGAGAGTCAGGCCAGTCCTGGGAAAGCAAGCCAGCAAGGGTGGTGTCCGCCATCTCGTTCACTTTATGGCAGCTGATAAAGAAAACATAGGAGAACCTGTCCTGGAAGAGGACGCCCTCTGCCCAGTGCAGCACGGCTTTCATCGCCAGCGTGCTCTTCCCAGCCCCGGCCTCGCCCTCCAGGACGATCGTCCGGGGCTGGGCTCCGGCCCGGTTAGGACCCAGCAGCCTCCTAAGTTCTTCGTGCTCCTTCGCCGTCACGTTGCAGAGATATATATGGTCTTCAGGCCAGGAGACGCTGTCCCACATCGCCAGTACTTTAGCCTTCATCCTCTCTCTGTACCTCCTCCTGTGGGCTGGAACAGAAGGGAGGCGCGACAGGGCAGGACAATGGTCAGAATGAGTCTCGGCATTAGAACTGATTCAATGATGAAGTTCCCTCGTAAAGCCCTGAACCAAGGCAGACAACCTGCCTTCAGGGGTCTTTCTCTGGGGACTGTGGGGGTGGCAGGGGGAGGGGGGAAAGCATCAAAAGTTAGCCAAACAGTTTGATGACAGGCAAAAATGAAAGACCTGAGATGGACACAGGATAGACTGAGAATGACCTTAAGAGGAGGAAGGGATGAACAGAGGCTCCTGCCTAAGAGCTGACACCTTGATCATGAGAAGTAGCCAGTCCAAGATACAGAAGGAGATGCTGTCGGGCAGGGGGACCAGCTAGAGAACTCGCTGAGGCAGCAGTGAGACGTTCTAGAGCACGATGCCCGCAGTCTGGTGGCAGGCGAGCTCAGCTGCACGGGAGGGACTCAATCACGGGCACCTTTGCTCTGAAGGCCAAGGGATGCTAGTTTACATCTGTTGAGGTCACTGGCCTTTGGGCAATGGAAACCAAGAAGGAAACCAAGCAGACCAAGGTAGGGAGCCACACCTGTCATCTAGGTGAAGCATTCAGTCAAACAAACCCATCGACAATATAACAACAAATTATTCTCTCTCTCCCCACTCTCCCTCCGCCCAAACCTTCCTGCTGCTTCTGCAAAGCAAAAGAAACCATAAGCAGAACACAACAACAACATAAGGACTGGGAGAAAATATTTGCAAACAATGCAACTGACAAGGGCTTAATTTCCAGAATACACAAACAGCTCATACAACTCAATAGCAAGGAAACAAACAGCCCAATCCAAAAGTGGGCAGAAGACCTGAACAGACATTTTTCCAAAGAAGACACACAGATGGCCAACAGGCACATGAAAAGATATTCATCACTAATTATCAGAGAAATGCAAATCCAAACTACAATGAGGTATCACCTCACACCAGTCAGACTGGTCATCGCCCAAAAGTTTATAAATGATAAATGCTGGAGAGGGTTTAGAGAAAAGGGAACCCTCCTGCACTGCTGGTGGGAATGTAGTTTGGTGCAGCCACTATCGAGGACAGTATGGAGGTTCCTTAAAAAACTAAAAATAGACATACCATGTGATGTAGCAATCCCACTCCTGGGCATATATCCAGAAAGATGAAAACTCTAACTCAAAAAATGCATGCACCCCAATGCTCAAAGCAGCACTATTTACACTAGTCAAGACATGGAAGCAACCTAAGTGTCCACTGACAGATGACTGGATAGAGAAGCTGTGATACACACACACACACACACACACACACACACACACACACACACAAATGGAATATTGCTCAGCCATAAAAAAGAATGAAATAATCACCATTTGCAGCAACATGGATGGAACTAGGGATTATCATACTAAGTGAAATAAGTCAGAGAAAGACAAATACCATATGATATCACTTATATGTGGAATCTAAAAAATAATAAAATGAACTTACTTACAAAATAGAAAGAAACTCACAGACATACAAAACAAACTTATGGTTACCAAAGAGGAAAGGAGGAAGGGACAAATTAGGAGTTTGAGATTAACAAACTAGTACATATAAAATAAACAACGATCTGCTGCAGAGCACAGGGAGTTATGTTCAATATCCTGCAGCAATCCACACTGGAAAAGAATCTGAGGAAGAATGTACGTATGGATGTATAACTGAGTCACTTTGCTGTACCTCTGAAATTAAAATAATATTCTAAATCAACTATAGCTCAATTTTAAAATTTTTTAAGTAAAGTTCCCAGGAGAGAAAGCATGCAAGGAGGAATATCAAAGACCTGCCTCACATTTCTTTACGATTTAGAACTGAACCCTTCTGGCTGTGACGCTGTGTTGTGATGCTGTGTTGATACGTAACATCTTTATGCCTCAGTTCCCTTGTCCATAAATTCCAAATGAGTAGTAAAGAAAGGAAAAGCGCTTTCCTTTTACCCACCAAAAGGGAAATACCATCCTCCGGAGATGGGGTCCCCAGGCAACACTCTGCTCAGATCACAGGCCTATGAAGGCTGGAATTTCTCAAATGTTCAACTTTGCACAGCTTTGCCTCCAGAAAAGGGCTGTTGTCCTGGACTGATCAAATCCCAAGACTTGATCACTTGAGCTTTCAGAAATGGATCTCATAGACCAAAGGACGACTCACGCAGGCCCCGCTCACCCAGAACAAGGCGAGCCGCCTGTCCCCTGTGCACCTCTGTGTCTCTTCTGCGCAGCAAGTTCGGTGAGACGCAAAACTGCACTGGACCTAAAACCCAGGGGACATCGACAGCAGAGGTGCCCTCTGATCCAGCCAAGCTGGGAACGAGCCCTGCATCAGACCCTGCAATGCTGAATGGGAAAGCACCACACAAATTCACAACGCAAAGAAACTGCGAGGGCGAGAAGGCCCGCAGTCCGCGGGACAGACCAGAGGGCGACTCCCGCATCCCGTGCGCTCTCACAGGCCACCAGGGGAACGAGCACCCAAGAGAAAAGTGAGGAGAGGGGAACAAACCATCTTGCAAGAAATAACAAGGATGGAAGCAGTCACGGTTTTCGACTCACCCATATGATGAATGCAAATCCCATACCACACCAGGGCAGCACTCTGATCAACGTGGCCAATGTGTGAACGTAGGACAGAAATGCCTGGCGGCCACTGGGGGTGCCATTTCACACAGCTTCTCAGAGGGTCAGCTTGGCTGCAAGGTCTATGCATGTGCTTTGATCCAGGAGGTCTGGTGCAGAAATTTCTACAGAAACGCCTGCAGGTGTGCAGTGTCATGGGTGTTTATCAAAGCACTGTTTCGTTTTTTTTTAAACTGGAAGCCTAGGTCTCTGTGAACAGGAGGTCATGTGCAGACCATGATCTATCCATATAGACGTATCTTTATACCCACACGACAGGTCTTAGAGCAGCTATTAAAGAGCGGACTCACATGTTTATACGAAGACGTGGCCAAGACGTCAGGTGACAAAAGCAGTGAACTGACAAATAATCTAGTTTATAAGCAAAAGCAGGAAGAACAAAACATCACATTTTCAAAGCGATACCTTTGCAGAATTAATTCATTACATAGGGAAATGGACAATTTTTTAAAATATTAAGCATGTTGTTCCATCTGCATCATTTAATCATTTTACTCTGATCAAGAAACAGACAACCCAGGGAACGAAAAACTGCTCCAAAAGTTATACTAAATACTACGTTTTTGAAAAAGGACACCGTTAAGGAGAAACGGACTTCATAGCTTTGATATTAAAAATACTATGGATGGAGTAGCATGTTTCATTGAAGTATGATAGAACTGAAGAGATTACTTCAACTTTCTGACAAAAATAAAGAAGGAAGCATGAGGGGAAAGGAAATTAAATGTTAACCCCAGGAAATGCAACACCGAATTATGGTTTCAGAGGAGAGGAACGATCCATGTCAAAGAGATAGTTCCAGGAAATTTCAGAGGAGAATGCATTTAATTTAAAGGTCCTACTTAGTACCCGACCCAGTTAAGGGAGTAAGTCCTAAAACCCAGCCACACCGTGGTATCTCAGAACGCAGGGGTGGAGGACCCCAAAAGCTTCCATAGTGCAAAAGACAGGTAACAACAGTGTAGAAATCTAAAAGGCGTCACATTTATCTACACCGTACACTGCAGGACACTGGGACACCAGAGACACTGAGGAAGAATGACACTTAACCTTAAAAATTACACCTAAACCATTCAAAAAAAGGCGCACTGGACAAAGCGTCCACCAGGCAAGCTCTCAAAAATACCACCTCAAATGGACCTTTGTCAATAAGCTGCTATGGAACGGGTCCCCTGAGACAGTGGTCAGACAGGTGGGCGTGGCTCCACAGGGGAAAGGGGGAGGCAACATTCCAGAAGACAAAATGGAATTCAAGGTCAAATGCAGTCCCAGGATGGCAGCTACGTGGCAGCCGACAGAGACTGGAGAAGGACGTGGGGCTTCTGGAAATTGTCCAGAAATAATGACAGGGGAGCTGACGGATTCCTTGACGCATCTGATGGCGTTACACATCCCGGAGAACTTTGAGGTGCTGTGATGATAACGGCACGGAAAGTTAAACCAGAAAAAAAGCGATTATTTACTCAAACAAAAATAGAAAACAGTTTCCGCAAAAAGGCACGTGTAGTGGATTCAATAGTGACCCCAAAAAACGGCATGTCCACGTCCGAATCCCCAGAACCTCACTGCCCTGGATTGCCCCAAACGCAGTCAGATGTACTGTCACAAGAGAGAGGCAGAGATTTCTGGGACAAAAGGAGGCCACGGGCCCACGGAGGCATTCCAGGCCCAGGAATGCCAGGAACCCCAGGGAGCTGGGAGACAGGGCGGCTTCTCCCGCCAAGCCCCCAGAGGAAGCTCGGCCCTGCCGACACCGTGGCTCCAGGCTCCCACCTCCAGCACTGTGAGAGGGTCAGCGTCTACCATTCAAGCCGCCTGGCCTGTGGCAGTTCACGCAGCAGCCCTAAAAACTGAGCACTGTGAGCCTGAGTTTCGCGTGGCTCAGCGCTGACTTACACCCACGTGACACTGAGCACCTGTTCTTTCAAACAAGTGTAGGACAGAAGGAAAGAGAGATACTCGCCCGCTGCGATGAGAAGTCGGCAGAAAATTAACTGGAAATCTAAGGACTGGCAGTGTATGTGGGTCATTTCTGAGAACAGAAACAACAGCCAGAGTGGCAGCTACACCCGGCACATGGTTGACCCCACAGAACAGAACTCCAGGCCTGGGCAAAGGATGGATGCCTTTCATTTTAAGTTTTGTGTTTTCTGGGTTTCTTTCTGGATTACACACAAGTATGGCCATTTCTTTGATAAAACTAAAGTTGTTCCATCTCTGAATGCATTGCTCTGTCCATGTGAAAAGTCCCCAAGGTACAAAAAATACAGCTACCCTGCACTATTTATAATAGCCAAGACATGAAGTGTCCATCAACAGACAAATGGATAAAGACGTGGTGAGATACACGCACACACATGCACATGCACATGCACACACACACACACAATAGAATACTATTCAGCCATGAAGAAGAATGAAATATCTGCCATAGGCAGCAACACGGGTGTACTTAGAGGGCATTACAATACTGCATGATATCACTTATACGTGGAACCTAAAAAATACGACAAACAAAATAGGGAACATAACAAAGAACAAGGAGACTCACAGAGAAAAAGCCACCAGTTAGCAGCGGCAGGGCCCTCGGGGGCCAAGCAGCAAGGACCGGCTCTGACCCAGCCCCTCGGTGTGTTTCACACGGCCGCTCTGAACTATGGAGTGTAAGACAGGGTACCAGGATGTAGTGCACCACACAAGGAACAGAGCCAGTATTCTGTCATAACTAAATAGAAAGTAACTTTTAAAAGTCGTATAGAAAGGCAAAAAACAAAATTTTAATACAGCTACCTATTAATGCAACACCAAGTCCAGAAACAGACACTGGTATCTGAGACCTCAGAGGGGAGCCACAGAGCGGCCAGCGTGCGGGGCCCAACGAGCAGCACCGGAAGCAGGTGCCGTTTCTGGCCAACTACAAACTGAGGACAATTTCAGAGGCGGCGGCACGTGGGAACCCGGTGAAACACAAGCCTGGGAGCAGCATAAAGCAGCGTCCAAACCTGCTTCTTCTCCTGGCGTCCCTGGTCCTTCCTGGTCTGCATCGTGGGGCTCCTGCGCCCGTGTGAACTCTGAAACAAAACAGTGACGGTGGGACGGTGAGACATTCCAGGCTGAAAACAGGCTCGCAGCGATGGGTGTCCTCGGTAAAACCCGCTATTTCTCTGAAGTGGGGGAATCAAAGAGACCGATGGAATCACAGCCTCAAGCGTCATCAACCCAACTGCTTGGAAACATGCTTCTTCGCAGAGACCAAAGCACATAATTAAAAGCCCCTCCCCTCCTCGGGGCCCCGGATCCAGCAGCCCCTGGTCTGGAAAGCTCTTTCCCCAGATACCTGCTTGGCGCACCCCCTCACCTCCGAGTCTTTGCTCAAGTCTTAGCCCCTCAACAGCACCTTGTCCCTTGGGCAGCCCCCATCCACCCACCGTCTCCTCTCCATTGCACCTGTCGCCATCCGCCACACCATACAAGGTACTTACTTCTCATGTCCATTGCCCGTCTCCCTCCTCTGGCGCGGGGGACAGACGGCTGACCTGTGTGTGTTGACTGATGTATCCCCACCAAACAGAACAATTCCCAGCACACAGAAGCCACTCTAATATTTGGGAAATAAAATGCCATAGGAAGCAAAGCAGCAAGGATGGGTTCTAACCGAAGCCCCTCCACGTGTTTCACACGACCACTCTGAACGTCCTGTGCCTCATAAGCAAAGAGACCACTTCCACGTCTCACTCACACAGCAGTAACTCCTAATCCACTGTCTTGTACACCCAGCTGCTGAGCCAATGCCCCCAAAGGGATTTGAATCTAAAGGAGTATGGCTTATTTTATAACTATAAATAGAATATACTTTAAAAATTGTGAATCACTATGTTGTATGCCTGAAACTTATGTAATATGGTACACCAACTATACCTCAATAAAAAAATTAAATTGTCAAATGCTCCAAAATATAAAGGAGATTGGATCAAAGAATGGATAAAGAAGCAACACACACACACACATATACACAGTGGAATATTACTCAGCCATAAAAAAGAGTAAGATCCCATAGCACAAGGAATTTTTTCAGTAACTTGTAATAACGTTAAGTGGAAAAGAATCTGAAAATAGATACATATAGATGTATAACTGAATCACTTTACTGTACCCTTGAAACTAACACAATACTGTAAAGTAACTATACTTCAGTTTAAAAAAATGCTTAACAAAAAAAGAATGAAATGCTGCCATTTGCAGCAACATGGCTGGACCTAGAGAATATTCTTCTTAGTGAAGTAATCCAGAGAAAGACAAATACTGTATGATATCACTCACATGTGGGATATAAAAAATAATACAAATGAATGCATACGCCAAACAGACCCAGACTTACAGACATAGAAAACAAACTAGTGGTTACCCAAGGGAAAGGGGGGGCAAGCTAGGGGTAAGGGATTAAGAGCTACAAACTACTAAGTATAAAGCAGATACGCAGCAAGAAAATACCGTACAGCACCGGAGATCGTAGCCATCACCTTGAATGACTTTTAATGTAGTATCATCTATGAAAAGACTGCGTCACTGTGCTGTGCCCCTGAAACGAATACATTATAAATCACCTGCAACTCAATTTTAAAAATCAAGGAGATACGGCTCTAATATTTACAGTTCCATGGCTTGTCAAGGTTTACAGGACTCGATCTGGGTGGCGAGCTGGGTCCTGGGCTTCGTCCTCACCCGCCGTGTTTCTCAGAAGAACAAGAACCCATCGTTCTCCACCCACCGTGGCCTTGGCCAGGAGTCCCGAGTGTCTGGAGCCCATCCGGGGTACAGAATCTACCCCGGGCGAGGCCAGCCATCCTGGCATCTGGGCACTGGGATGGGGATCTTTTCCCAGGTGTAGTGCAGAAGGCTAAGGCTGTCCCTTGTCACCGGCTCCATTTATCTGGAAGCCAAGGACATGACAAGTGCCATTCCTTTGTTGCAAACAATCCCACTAGTGTGGGCCTCCCAGGTTACAGCATTACTGCCCAGATTAAGTGCCCCAACCTGTATGTTGACACACTAAACTGAAGATTCTAGGTCAAGCTGGGACCCCCTGCCAGGAGAGCTGGGCTGTTCCAAACGAACAGCCTGGAGTTTAAGTCCAATTTCTTTAAAAATATCCCAGTTCTCAGTTTCCTTTGGCCATCTATGGAAGCCTGTTGAACTGAAGAGCCACCCACCCTGAACTGGATGAATTAGTCTTGGTGGGGTGGAGTGTGTCACTGAGATGGTGACTCTCCCAGCTCTGATACTGCCCGTCTGCCATCCTCAAACCAGCATCTGGAAACCACCAGGAAAGGTGATACTGTTAGGAAAAAAACTACCCCCAAAATGAACAAGTGATTGAGAATATATTCCGTGCCTTCTAAGCATTTCACCCAAGAAACTCAGAGGTAGGTACAGCTAGCTCCGTTTTCAAAGAGAGAGAATGCAATGGAATACTACTCAGCCATGAAAAAGAATGAAATAATGCCATTGCAGCAACACGGAAGGACCTGGAGAGTGTCATACTAAGTGAAGTAAGTCAAAGACAAGTATCACACAATATCACATATATGGAATGTAAAAAAGTGGCACAGATGAATTTATAGAACAGACTCATAGACATAGAAAAGAAACTTATGGTTGCCAAATGGGAAAGGACCAGGGGAGGGATAAATTAGGAGTCTGGGATTAACAGATACAAACTACCATATGTAAAATAGGTAAACAACAAGGTCCTACTGTACAGCACAGGGAGCTATATTCAGTATGTTGTAACAGCCTATAGTGGAAAACAATATATGTGTATGTGTGTGTGTGTGTCTGTGCGTGTACCGAAATCACTACTGTGTACACCTGAGACTAACAACATTGTAAATCAACTATACTTCCTTAAAAATTAAAAACTTAAAAAGAAACAGGATTTAAGGGTTCTCGATCCCACTGCCTGGCTCTCTGCTCAACACCCGCCTGGTGCAGACAAGGGTATGCGAGGGATTTGTGAAGGGGAGGGCGGGGAGGAGGAAAAGAGGGGAGATGCAGGGAAATGGAGTCCCCGTCCCCTCCTCCTGCCCCAGGAAGACGCACAAACCCCGAATTTCCAAGTTTCAGCACCTCCAACGCCCAAAGCTCTGATGGGGAAGACTGCATGCTGCCGGCTCCCACCCCTACTCCTCAGCTGGGGGGCGGGGGAGGCAATACATGGTCAAGCACAGAGCCTCCGGAAACCTACCGCTGGGGTTCACACCCCAGCTCTGCGACCTCGGGCAACTTACGTGTGCTCTGTGCCTCAGTTTCCTCGTCTGTGAAACAGCAACGACAGAACCTCCTTCTCAGGAGAGTGTGAATAAGCACCAACGCACAGAAAGCATTAACACCAGTGCCCGGCTTGCAACGGGCAGCAGCCAAAGCTAGGACTGGTTTCCACAGGCCTCAGAGGCAGCCGCCCTGCCATACAGCGGCGTGCGCATCCCTAAAACTCGCTGCTGTAGGTGACACCGCACAGTAAAAGCCATGCGGGTTTTTATTTTATAGCAAACTGGGGTCTATGACACATTTGCAAAAGATAGAAACACTTAAAATGGCAGCACAACTTCACACTTGCTGGCGAGCTATGAAACATTACTAGCACAGCAAATAAATACTGCAGGGCTTCCACATAGAAAGAAACAGCACAGCTCGGAAGTTTGTGTTTTGTTGCTTTGGGGTTTTTGTGTTGTTGTTTTGTTGTGTTGTGGTTTTGTGGGTGTTGTTTTGTTGTGGCGTGGTGTGGTGTTGTTTGTTGTGTTGTGGTGGTTTTGTGGGTGTTGTTTTGTTGTGGTGTGGTGTTGTTTTGTTTTGTTGTGGTGTGGTGGTGGTTGTGGTGGTTGTGGTGGTGGTGGTGGTTGTTGTTGCATTTACCTAGTGCTTCTCCAAGGGGGAGAAATGCACTAACAAACATGAAATTCCTGTTGTCCCCCAATCATGCCCCGATGCAACCACTGCATTGGAACAAATTCGTATTTTTAAAAGCAGCCTGGCAATGGAACTGAACACGCATCCTTCAGCTCCCTCTCCTTACTTCTGATCGCATCCCTGCCAAGCAACAGCTCCAAACATTCATAGCCTTTATGCCTTTGAACTTGCACAACCAACCACGGAGACTTTTTCTTAGGGGGAGACCAGCAATTTGGAACGACGCCATAAAAATCCAGCGCAACCTCCCTGCTCCGTGAGCCCCGGGCAGCCGTCCATCTCACAGACCCACTCACCATTCGTCTTGGCTCTCATTTCCTCGCAGAGTGAAGTCAGCTGCATGTTTTCGAAGATGTGGAGGGTCACGTCCCATACCTGCCTCGCTGGTAAGTACTCACTCAACAGGCACAGCAGATCAGCGGGACCAGCGGCTTTCAGGCTCGCCCAGGGGATCGGCCGGGAGTTCTCAAGCAGCAGCTGCGGGGCCTGGAGGCCAAGTTTGAATTCCTCCAGCTGATACTGATCCAGG